TGAGACTACACAGTATTGAAAAAATACTTACAAGAGAAACACAATGAAATACGTGGCAAAACTATGATGCAAAAATCGAGAAAGTCTAGAAAATTGAAGCACTTGGAACCAGGGTCGTGAACAAGAGTGAATAATCCGACAACCATTTGTTGGAGTGGCATGGCTTTTAAAGCAGCCGGTAATGAGGTATGATTACAGACACATGCCGCTCATGACGGAAAGCCCTCCTATGCCACCTACTGGAGAGAAACTGAATCATGACAACATCCATGTAATGGGATAGATCGACTGTGAGCTGGTTTACTAATTCCTCACAGGTCTGAGATTTTTTTGGAGGGGGGGGTTAATTTGTCCACATATCACTTGAAAGTGGATAGCAGGATGTAAGGTAAAACAATGAAACGTAGCACACACGCACACACACACACAAACACACACACACACACTACCTTTTCATCACACTCTCTTGCTTGCGGCTAGTACAAGAGGCTATTTTAGCAGTTTACATCTCCCCTCAGCGCTCCTTTGTGTGCATCAGCATAAACAGATGGTCACACAATATCCAAATCAAAGTCCTTCATTGATAAATACTTGCTACGACCAAAAGTCAAAAACAAGAGGTACAAAATGTACGAAAGCAAAACACTATGAACTTAATATTTTTGCCATTTAATTTTTCTCAAATGATGTTACACTTCTTTTACTACCACATTTATTTGTTCACAACTTGTTATTACAAACTTTGCTTGATCGTGATGATCAAAAAGGCTTGCTAATTATTGACCATTTACTTAATATTTTTGCTATTTATTTATTGCTGCTATGTTGAAATGATGTTAGACTTCTTTTAATGCCACGTTTGTTCATAACTTATTAAGTTGTTCATAAGTTTGGCAGTGATGATCAAAAACACTTGCTAATTCGTTAGCAGCGTGGTGTCTGATGATAGTAAATGGCGGCTTCAGCCTTCCATCTCAGCCCTGGTGTTTCTGATGTGTATTTAATTGCCGCCACTGTCTCATTTGGTGTCGTGCATTCTCACTGGGCCTTGAAGGACCTCATCTCGTTATTCCTTTAAAGCCCTGCTCCTCCTTTTAATGAGACCTCTGGGGCTCAACTGGGCTTTGACAAGAAGGGGTGGAAAGGGCTTGACAAGCTCACAGATCACTGAGTCTGGGCAAAAAAAAAAAAAAAAAAAAAAAGTCACATAGGAATTGACTGCTCGTTTAAGAGTAAAAAAAAAAAAAAAGGATATCTGAAGACTGAGACAAAAATAGAACAGCAAAAATAACGCAAGTGGCAGAAATAAGATCTGGCTGGAGAATATGATGCTGGCGGTCATTATTTAACTGTGGTGCATTTACTTTGATGGCTTTCATGATCTGACAGCTAAAGTTGCTTTGACTGCCCTGAGTGGTCACAAATCAGTGAGCAGATGATCAGGTCCACCATGCAAATCTTGAAAAGAAAAAATAAACTTTAGAGATAGCTTAAGAAAAAAAAAAGACAACCCGCAAGCTCATAATCGACTATAAAGATAAACATCTGTCGGATCTTTGCTTCATGTTTTCGCGAGAGCTTAGTCTGGACCTTGGAGGACTTGGGGGTCAGAAAAAGCAATTTACCACCCCACACTGACTAATGATCATTTAATGTGGTTCAATAACAAAGCCTCACTGTCATGTAACACCTTTGAAAGGCTATAGTCACCCAAAAGATTCACACAGATGTTCGAAAAGCACCAAAAAGACAGATTAAAGCGAGGTAAAGACATATATAGTGATTGCTTTCATTCCAATCAATTTTCAAAATATAAGACACCCCACACGTGGCGAGAAAAGAATCGGCAAGTGTGTGCTTACTGCTCTTAAAGTGCGTGGTTTGCTGCAAATTACCAAGACAGCATGCCACACAGTGAACCAGATACAATCTCTCCACCGACAATCTAGTAATACCAGGGCTGACATGTGTGAGGCAGCGTGGTGCCACAGAGTATTTAGACTTCCGGAAAATACAAAGAAGAAGAGTATTTTTCGACGGACAAAATGGAGAAGCTAGCCAAACTGTTAGCTTAGCGTTCTATTCCGTGGCTCGGCGGAATTCCGGTTGACCACATACGGAAGGATTTGCGGTCATAAATACAGCATAGGTTTAATATTTACGTTGTCACCACCTCTAGAACCAATTTTCAAACGCTCCACACCACTGGATACTTGCTGGTATTTGCTTTGATCGGAAGAAAGTAAAAATGCTCAAATTCAGCCAATACGGTGTACAGTATTCAGTTGGGTGTCAATTACTCACGGATCTTCGCTATTCGTGATATTTTCATTATACTTAATTTGAATTTCTATTTGACCTTTGTTTTTATATTCAATTCATTTTAATTGGTTTTTAGAGCAAGTTTATTTGTTTTTATTTTATTTTTGAAAATGCTTCATTGTAGTTTGGTTCTTTACATTATAATTAGTTTTAGTGTTTTTAATACAGTGTATGGAATATTTATCGAGTGCAAGATCACAAAGTATTGTCCAAAAACGAAATTCTCAAAAAATAACCGTCCTTGTTCTGTAACTCCGGATGTACAGCAATACCAAAAATAAATACATTTCAAATGAATCCCAAAAGCCTTCATACTTTGTATGATACTAATTGCCAACTATGAACACGACAGTTTTTCATTCAGCATTTTAGTTTTTAATTGCATTTCGTTAATGAAAAGATTTTTGTTATTTCACTCCTGTTCGTCAACTATAATAACCTTGGTCCCGACCAACACTGTATGTGTGTAGCCTGCTTCACATGAAAACACAACAATGCTTTCAATGCAGCACATCACAGAAGCATGAGGAAATGCAGACTGGATAAGAACCGCAAAAGACATGATTACCAGCGTTTTACATTGGTCGTGTAAAATTTGATGCAAGCAACAACTCATAATAATGACTTTTGGATCAAACTGCTGACAAGGGACAATTTTGAGAGCCAACCTTCTTGTATCACACAAAGCAATCAAGCAAAGGTCTAGTGTGTCATTTTTATGGGGCCCACAAGGATAAAAGAAATCAATGCACTGGGTCACCAAGTGGAGGGACTGAGCTGGAAGTGTAATGAGGTTGTGTGTTAAGTAATTCACCCGTATCTTGTTCGTTAAGATAAAAAAAGAGTATATCACTTTCTTTATTTCCCTTTAGTTGGTTTCAGAGCACACCACCAATCATGATGGTAAATAAGTCGAAAGTAAGGTAAAAAAAATAAATAAAGCATCTTTCCCGTCAGTCCCATGGCTAGTGTCATTCAAAGAGAAAGTGTTGAGTCACCTGATTGTTTACTAATAAGATTGCCTGTTCATGTGCTTTGTTACAGCTGCAATGGCTGTGAAAGCGCTATATAAATAAACCTGCATTGTATTGTGTTGTATTGTATTCCTTTAGTGTAGCTCCATCTAGTGGATGCATGATGCAACCACAGCCACTTTTGTAGCTTCTATTCTATGCGCCTTATAATGCGGTTCATTCATTCATTCATTGAAGGTGCGCCTTATACTCCGAAGTGCCTTGTAGTGCAAAAAATACAGTAAGTCATCGATTTAGGAGAGGGTGGCACCATGTCAAATTTCGCCAAGGTGCGACATTGGCTTAGGTCGGCCACAGAAGCATGAGGAAATGCAGACTGGATAAGAACCCCAAAAGACATGATTACCAGCGCTTTACATTGGCCGCGTAAAATTTGATGCAAGCAACAACTCATAATAATGACTTTTGGATCAAACTGCTGACAAGGGACAATTTTGAGAGCCAACCTTCTTGTATCACACAAAGCAATCAAGCAAAGGTCTAGTGTGTCATTTTTATGGGGCCCACAAGGATAAAAGAAATCAATGCACTGGGTCACCAAGTGGAGGGACTGAGCTGGAAGTGTAATGAGGTTGTGTGTTAAGTAATTCACCCGTATCTTGTTCGTTAAGATAAAAAAAGAGTATATCACTTTCTTTATTTCCCTTTAGTTGGTTTCAGAGCACACCACCAATCATGATGGTAAATAAGTCGAAAGTAAGATAAAAAAAATAAATAAAGCATCTTTCCCGTCAGTCCCATGGCTAGTGTCATTCAAAGAGAAAGTGTTGAGTCACCTGATTGTTTACTAATAAGATTGCCTGTTCATGTGCTTTGTTACAGCTGCAATGGCTGTGAAAGCGCTATATAAATAAACCTGCATTGTATTGTGTTGTATTGTATTCCTTTAGTGTAGCTCCATCTAGTGGATGCATGATGCAACCACAGCCACTTTTGTAGCTTCTATTCTATGCGCCTTATAATGCGGTTCATTCATTCATTCATTGAAGGTGCGCCTTATACTCCGAAGTGCCTTGTAGTGCAAAAAATACAGTAAGTCATCGATTTAGGAGAGGGTGGCACCATGTCAAATTTCGCCAAGGTGCGACATTGGCTTAGGTCGGCCGGCCCGGTGCTAAATAAATGAAATTTACTTCCTGCAGAAATATCTGAAAAGGAAGTCTTGATTCTTTTCATAAATATTTCTTTGGATTGTCCTTTAGAAATGGTATCACCACTTTAAATAGTGCCACCGCAGTCTGCGATTCTGTTTTATTGTCTAAGATGAAATGAAATTCAAGTTTCCACCCTTCTAAAATGCTGCTATCCACTTAAAAACAGTATGCGTATTGTAAATCCTGGCTACATCTGCACGCAACAGGATGTACTCGCAAAAGCAAATCTTGTGTTGCTTCACTTTTCCTAAATTATATGGGCCGATTGATCAAACAATAAGATGCTGTTATTCAATATCATGGACCATAAATTTTGCCACACAGTTTCATTAGCGCGACTTTTTGTTCCCCCAGTGTACATTACAAATCTACTTCATCACCGGTTTGGCGGGGGAGGGGGGGCGGTTGTGGGGGACCCTTTTCATCTGCTGGCTCCACCTCACGATAGAGCGAGCGACTCCGTGTGGGACGCAACAAGCTTTCTTTTCCTTTTGACGGACTGCAAGTCAACAGACTTGAAAAAAATTCTGGTGCTGGAAGAAAAAAAGGGAGGAGCATAAAAAGAGAGAAAAGCGTCCAAATCTGCAATCTTACACTGGAGAACGGAGCGGCAAGAATCAAGCTTTTCCGAGATTTTTGTGTGACATTCATCCATGGATGGATCGCTGATATTGGGCATTTTTCAGCATTGGACGTATTCAGCTCGTTCTTTCAATACATTTTCTTCTCCCGAAGGAATCACACTGATTCTGTCTGGCAATAGAATTGGAAGCCTGAGCAACGCGCACAAAAGGTTCCTGTCATCGCTGCTGGGAATTTTCATTTGAGAAGTCACAGTGGAGTAGTGCTCGGGAAAACAAGCGGCAATGGCGATCACATGTGAGTCGCTCTCCTTGCAAACCGACGACCGAGAGCTACAGAAGGCAAGTGAACAATCGTGGAAAGACATGACTGTGAATTTCGTCACGAGGACCAAAGTCCACGGTTTGAAGTTTATGTTCTCGCCACACAAATCCAAGGTGCAGCGGGGGGCCTGGGTGCTGGCCTTCCTGGTCAGCGTGGCCCTCCTCCTCACCTGGTCCAGGAACAGAGTCCTCTACCTTATGTCCTACCCGGCTGTGACAAAGATCTACATGGTGTGGGCTCACAACATGTCCTTCCCAGCCGTCACCTTTTGTAACAAGAACGTGTTCCGCGCATCCAGTCTGACCAGGGATGACTTGTACCACAGCGGCTACTGGATGGACCTCATGTACGCCAACCACACGGTGGTGGAGAGGAGCTTAGCCATCCTGAAGGAGAGCCACAAGCAGGGTCTGCTGAGCCTGCTGGACTTCAGCGGCTACAGCCGGCCGCTCCGTTACCGCGTCAACACCACCGAGATGATGGCTCGCCTCGGACACCAGCTGGAGGACATGCTGCTGGGGTGCAGGTTTCGTGGTGAGATCTGCACCACCAAGAACTTCAGCACTGTATGTAAAAGGAAGGTGTCTGTCAGATATGCGTCTGAGTGCGTTGCAAACTGGGTTCTCCAAATTTAGAGGGGCTTGGTACCCTTCCAGGGGAAAAACTAGATGCCAATTGTTTTACCAGAAAAGCCATACAAATTTAAAAGTTGCCTATTAGAGGGCCAACAAATGCAAATCCATCCATCCATTTTCTGATCCGCTTTATCCTCACGAGTCGTGGGGCATGCTGGAGCCCATCCCAGCTGTCTTCGGGCAGTAGGCGTGAACCGGTTGCCAGCCAATCGCAGGGCACAGAGAGAGGAACAACCATTCGCGCTCACATTTACGCCTAGGGACAATTTTGAGTGTTCAATCAGCCTGTCATGCATGTGTTTGGAATGTGGGAGGAAAACGGAGTACCCGGAGAAAACCACACGTGCACATTTTTGACCAAAAAAAAAAGTCATATCCTCACACAGTATCAAAGTCAAAGTTTTAAGTCACGAATTTGCCTATTTGCCTTTTTTTCTTGAATGACCTCGCTCCCCAAAAACAGGTAAATAGTCTTGTAAATGCACATCTATTACTGTTGAAAAATTCTGAAATGATCCCTTGCCCGCTAAGAATCAATTTTATTCATGCAGGGATGACACATGGTATGTCACAATCATATCAGAATTTTAATTGGCCCAAAACTAAGATGAAAAGAATTGTTTCATGTTTGATAAAAAATAAAAGATCTAAAAACAACTCAGCAAATTGATTTGCAGCAGGCAATTTGCTTGCTTTTGTTGTGCTCACTAGCATTATTGTCATAAATATCAAAAATGTATTGTTCCAACTTGACTTACTGTTTAGCCCACTCAAAAATACTAAGTTGTGTTTTTTTACACTGTAGTTGATGATAACCGTTTGAACTCCTGTTTCTGTGCCGTTTTTGTATTTAGCGAAATGCTGCCAGTGTGGATGTATGTCGTTTTCTTTTTATTCTTTTTGAATCCATAAAAAAGCAAAACCATCGGCACGATGCTTTACTGGTTTCATTCCAACATATTTTATTCCTTTTGGTTGTACGTTCCATTTTTAGATGTGGGCTGTGCTTTTTCTGTGTTGTATAGTCCTGGAGGGCTGACTGCATAAAATATCTTTGCAAAACAATGGTTGGACAATGCCGTGGTTTGAAATCAATTTCATGTCTTCATCGATGACAACAGTGACTTCGGTGCATTTTATTTTGGTCCTTCAGAGTTTCAAATAAAGTTTGCTTTGCCAGCAATGTTAGATGATTTGAAACGAGATTTGTTCATTATTCAGCCATCCAAGCGCAGTCCTAATTAATCTTTTAGCTTCTCTAATTAAACATCTGCGGCATTGTGGAAGGTAAAAAGACGTGTGGGGTTGATTGACAGCCGCGGGTGGCATTTGTAATGCAGATGCTATTTCATACTTGAGCTCCACTCGAGAGCTCACATTCTAATGTCACGAAAAAATATTCAAAATGCAGATAGATAATGCCCCAAAGTCACACCCATCTTGAAAATCATGTGAGTCTTACACTGGCTTGATATATAAAGCGAATGTTACTTTTCTGACCAAACAACGATTTTGCCAAGACATGTTGTCACACTGATTTGCATTTAGCGTGCTATATCATTAGCGTGCCGCTTCTTGCTCCCTGGTGGCCAACCCGTGGCTCACGAGCCGCATGCAGCTCTTGGGCTGGTTCAATGCGGCTCACATGACATGCGTCGAAAACGCCTCCGCGGTGGCGCTGACATTCAAACAACGGCGCTATGTACAGTAGAATTTACGATGTCAGCCTATCATCAATTCTGTTACTTGATTGACATACAGGGCAGCCAGTCAAAGGGGGGTGGGGGGGTTTGTGTGTTTCGATTTCGTCATCTCGCTCATCTCGGCGTGCTTGCGTGTGTGCGTACATATGCGCATGTGTGCGTGGTTGGGCGTGCGTGTACAGTATATGCTTGCACGTGCGCGATCGGGTCAATCGCGGCAGGTTTCTCGCGTCAAAAGTCGATCTTCGGTCAAATATGTCGCAAGCTGACCCAAGTAAGTAACCACTGCAGCTCGCATACAGACAGTGCCCTGTTTCGAGTGGCAACAACGGAATACAAACCAGATTTGAAGTGGATTATTCAAGAGAAGGAATGCCAAAAGTCCCTGCACTAAGACACTAAACAACATGCATAGTAAGAGAAAAACGTGATTATCTTTTTATTTGTGGACTTGGGTGAACTGAGAGTTTGTGTGTGTGAGACAGTGCACACAATAGTCATTGTTGAAAATGACCGGCCTGTGGTCTTCGTACTGCAGGAGTTAATTTTTGTCATTATCATGTTGGTGTTCAATTCTTTTACTGGATTGACATACAGGCCAGCCAGTCAAATGACAACTGAATCACCGCGCATGCGCAAACAACGGCGCTAAGCGCTAAGTGCTAAGCTAGTCAGCGAATAACCTCTGATTTTAAGGCAGCAGACTGGTCCCAAGTCAACCGCGAGGATTGGGAGGAGGAAATGAGGGGG